TTTTAATTTAATTTAATTTTGATAATTATTTTTTAAAAAAGTATTATTTTAATCATTAAGCCAACATACCAACTTAAAGGAATATAATTGCATAAAAATAACTTTTTGGTTGATTATCTTAAATATTAAACATAATATAAAATTTCAAATCCTTGTATAGGTATTGTTCACGAATTTTTCGTAATTTAAAGGAAACGTGGCTTTTATGAAAAATGAGAAAAAAAAAAAAAAGAGAGTATGTTAATAGTCTCTCAAAACTCTAAGGAATGAATAATGAGTTTTGGATGTCAAAGTTATGTGTATAAATATTGATAATAAAATCATAAATGTAGAATTTGGCTAAACTTATGAATAAATTTGCAAATAATAATAATAATAATAATAATAATAATAATAATAGATAAGTATAATTTAATTTTAGTTTATAAAATAGTTTAATATATATTACTACTTAATTTTTTACTCTTATAAGTATTTATTGAAAAATGTATTTAAATTAAGCCAAAATCATATATTTTTACTCGAAAACCACGTTTGCATATAATTTTACAATAATCGGTATATGTCATAAAATTTAGATTTTTAATACTAATAAGTGATGTAAAGTGGTCACTTTAGATATTACATTTTTTTATTAAATAAAAAATATTTTTATTAATTATAAATTTTACTGATTAAAAGTAACAAAAAATATATTTCTTTCTCCATTATAATTATATTCTATTACACGAATTATGGAAAGTGACCGTTACAAGATAGGAAATACCTAATAGCAAACCTCAGGATGTCAAATAAAGAGATCATATGTAAGATCTAGACATGTCAATTGTGTGGACACCAACAAATCCATATATTAATATTGTTATAGATCATCTAAATAAAATGAACATGGTCTTAACTTTTGTGTCAAATCGACTCAATTTATACGCAGAACTAGCCACACACCTAGGACGATGATGAGTCAATATCAGAAATAAGTCACTAATATTACTCTCAACGAAGAATATATATATAAGCGAGGGATATTTTCACAGTACAGAACCAATATCCATGAATATTTGATATGGTTTCCTGCACCCTTAAAATCAGCTAAACTGTAGAAGAGAAATGTAAGTGTTGTCCTTTCATGGCAGATTGGTTTGATTTTGCACTGCTGCATTGTCCTTTCGTTAAAACTCAACCATTCAAATGGCTATTCTTAGTGTGTGCAACCATTTGTTTCACAAAAAAAAGAAGAGAAAATTGAAGTCAACCTTATCATTGAAAGTGTAAACGTCAGTAGCAAGAGCATATTGCAAACATAACAGTGACTACCCAAAAAATGAAAAATGCATGTACTGTCAGGAAAAAAATTATTAGGCTTGACTCGATTAATATAATATTTGTTTAAAAAATATTAATATGTATAACACAATAGGATACATGATATTAAGATTACCGAATTTAAGATTAGTACATATATATTTTTATAGTGAATGGGAAAAGGATAAGAAAGTGGTGTCGGCACATATTTTAACTTCAGTTTGAGTGTCATAATTGATATATATAATCATAGATTTAAAAATCAAACTGGGTGGGCTGATACCAAGTAATATAAAGTAAATAGTGTGTTGTTCTAAGAGATTTATGAAACAAAAATCAATTGATAAATTTACCATTATTATTTTTCTTGACGAAACAAAAAATTTGATTGCAATTATGAAAATTAAGTTAAATTAAGGTGAAGCAAACAAAGAATTTATAAATTAAGATCAAAAGTGGTATATAATGTGTAAAGTTGTATTATAGGAAAGGCGTTAGAGTTTGATTCTTTCTTGATATTTATTTAAGCAATAAGGTTTGCTTTAATCTATGGCTTAAAATAATAATGATGATCAAAATCATTAGTAATTGAAGCTTAATTTCTTAATGAATTAACTATTTTTTCTAATCAACGAACCTAATTTCTTGAAAACCCTTAAGTATGATAAACATTAAGTTTTAGGGTTCTTGAAATTTCAAAATTAATAATTCCTATCTCTAGATTATCACCAATGATCATATTGTCTTGCTTAAATTTAATTATAAAGAAATATAATCATTTATAAGTGACCAAATTATAAAAGCAATAAAAATAGAAACAATTTGGGCATGATGAGCTAAAAATGGACGTGGGATCTCTTTTCTTACATCAGAGATAGGAGAGGCAGCCAAGAGTTATTAAATTGGGTTTGTTCTGGGAAAATGGAATTTTAATTTATTTGAATGATGTATTTCTTTTAGCAATGTGTTACTGTTTATTTTTAATTTATTATACAATGTGCATGAAGCTAAAAATTTTCAATAGTACAATAGTTAACCTATTTTAACAGGTAAGTTAGATTTTCATTCTATTACTAAGTAATATTGATTTGGGATAATGAGATTTTCAAAAACCACCTTGCATGCCATATTCCTTTGAATTGTTATTATAAGTTATAATAATAGATAAAATTATTAGTTATCTAGTTATTGGTGTTCATTAATTTGGAGTCACTAATGCCAACATTCGTTCAATTAAGTAATTGAAGCATTATGAATTGAGAAGACATAGCAAATAAGTGAATAACATGTTAAGAAGAAAGAAAATATAAGTTGACGAATACACTCTTAGAGAGAAAGTAAAAGATTGAATTAAAATGTGACAATGAAAAAATGTCAACATCTTAATATGTTTTTTAGGTTTTATACGGCATATGAATAAAACACTCAAGCCTTTTTTTAAGCACATTTTTAAAAAAATTCAAAAAATTCCTCCTATTTTGAAAACAAAATTATATTAACCCAAAACCTTTATTTTTGCACGAAATTAACAAAATACACATATTATAAATTTTGTCTCATTAATAAAATATCTTATATTTCTTAAACAATATGCAATATTTTCTATTCTATAAATAAATTATAAATAAATCCATTATCATAAGAGAAACAAATAAATAATAAAATATATTCATTTCATATCTTCAAAATAAAAAATATGTATTAAACTTATTGTAGGAAAAAAATTAATAAAACTTAATCACATCAGTCAGTAATGATTAAATTAAGAAAATATAATTTTATTTTTATTTAATTCTTAAAAAGATATATTTAAAAAATATTTCTATTATATCTTATCAATAATTCATGTAATTAAGTTTTTTATTAAAAAAATTCCTAAAAATTTAAAATTATATTTATTATTTTAAAGAGAGTAAATTAGAATTTATTTATTATTTATTCTGTTATATTACTCTAATTTTTTAATTTCATTAACAATAGAGAAAGGGGTTTGTTAATGTTTAAAAGGGATTCTTTTTCAATTTTATGAAAAATAAGTGTATAGTTTAAGTGTAAGGGTACTCTGTTTGATTCACTTATTCTATTTTGTATAGCATTTTCTTACAACTCATTTTTCTTTACGCTTATCTTTATCACATCACCAATTTATTATATACGTATTCTTTTTCTTTTAATGGTTAAAAAAATATAAAAATTGCGAGTAAGATTAATTTTTTTATCATGAAAAATGCTAACCAGTGTCCTAGTTAAAATTTTTATTTTAAAAAAATATAATTTTAGACTTTAATGTAATTTTCAACGTATTATATATAACGTGATATTTCATAAAGAAAAATTATTTACCCAAAACATATTGTACACAAAGATCCTTTTCTCATTCAATCATTTATTTATTGGGTACGAAGAGGGTGCTTTAATTTACTGCACAGAATAAAATTTAGGTTGCTAAAGGTGATGGAATAATCTCCAATCTCCATGCTATTATGTGTAAAATACTGTCATCACACAGAACCCTATCATTCATTTCTCTTTTCAAAAAACACCAAATGGACTACGTACCACTTTTTTTAAGAATACCAAAACAAAAAGGTGCAGTGTGCTCATGTAGAAGAGGTTAAAACATTGGCTTGGAAGAAAGAGAAAATAAAAACAATTAAAAAGAAGCCAAAGGGAAGCACTTTAAATGCAACAGGGAACCAAATCAAAATAGAAGAATGAGAAGCAGAATCTTAGTCAAAGTAGTCAAACTTTTATACCGAAGCCTTGATGGAATAAACAAAGAAGAAAACCATTATGCGTAAAAAAAATCAATAGGTAGTTTTCATATCACATTTTTTTTATGCTCTATATATGATCCATAATACTATATATTCTTAAGAATCTAGTTTCTTTTTTTTATCATCATTTTCTCTCTCTCAACAATTTCTACGTTAGGAGCCCATTTCACAATAAAAAGTGAGAACAGCAGATTCCCAATCATCCTCTCCACTCTATAGGAAACAGCCATAATTGCATCCAACAGTAACTTTCACCATAAAAAGTTAGAAACCTCTAAGCAACCCACTTATTTGATTGCTGCATCTCTTTTTACTTAATCTTCCAATTATATAAACCTATCAATCTCCATCAACTTCCCTCCAACCACACTTCCTTTTTCCCCACCTATCATGATGAGTTCTTCATGCACTAACTCTTCTGTCAATGGCTTCTACAACTTCCTCACTCAAGGACTCAATGAGCTTCACCAATCCTTCCTCTCACATAACTTCATGTCAATCCAATTCATTTCTGAGGTGCTTTCATCCCTTCAATCCTTCCATTCCCACTTAACCATTTTGGTCCAAAAGCTTTGCTTGCCAATTGGAGGGAAATGGCTTGATGAATACATGGATGAAAGCTCAAGGCTTTGGGATATTTGTCATGTACTCAAATCAGCCATTTCTGGAATAGAGAACTATTCCTCAGCTGGCTCCAATATAGCTTCCTCACTAGATGGTTACCATCATTTCACTCCAGAGCTTTCACATCAGGTTGGTATATATATAGTATGCACACATCAAATTCTGTTCCAAACTTCTTGTCAGAGCTTAATGATTTACAAAACTCAAATCGAGTTTATTTAACTATTGGGTCTAAATTATAAAACATACACATATATGCAGGTTATAAGGGCCATAAATATTTGTCAAAGGGAGAGTCTAGGAATGGTAGAGGAAAATAAAAGCTTGATGGAAACAAGAATTCAGGCATTGTCTCAATGTCTAAATCAGAACATGTCTATGGAATCGAAGTTAAATGAGTTCAATGGCTTCAGAGGTGTTCTTTGTGCAATGAGGAGTGTTAGTTCATTGCTTCTGATGATTTTGCTATGTGGGATTGCATATTGTTGGTCTTCCTCGTGCTTTGACCAACAAGGGTATGAAGGGCACATGGTTTATGGATCAAGTTTCATGGTTTCTATGGCAAGATTGCAGCAGAAAGTGGCAGAGGAGATAGAGCAGAGTAATGGGCAGCCAGGGATTTTGCTCCTTGAATTCCAACAAGCAAAGATTGCCATGGAGGAATTGAAAGTGGGGTTGGAGAGAATGGTGGGCTATGAAACACAGTATGAGATCCAAGCAAAAGTTGACAACTTGAAAAGTTGCTTTGGGTTGTTGAGATGTGGGGTTGAGACTATAACAGGGCAACTTGATGATTTCTTTGATGAAATTGTAGAAGGAAGGAAGAAGCTTTTGAACATGTGTAGTCATAAGTAGATATATATTTTTCGGTCTAGTGCAGCCATAGCAAGGATTTTAAAAAAAAATACTTGAGAAGAAAATGAAGCTTTTTAAGGAAAAATAAAAAGGGGACATAGGTTAAAAAAATGGAAGCAATGTCATAATTTTCTTTTCGGTGTTTCTTTTTTCTCTTACCTTCATTTTTTCCAATTTGCCTAGTTGATAGTCAATAAATTGAAGCCTTGAAGAAACTTTGGTGTAGAGGCCTTGAAGAAGCTTTTCTAATGAAAACCCAGGAAAGAAAAAAATTTGCAAAGAAAAGAATGTGATTCTTGCTTTGAAGTAAAGCAACATTACTCTTGAATAGACGAGAAACCAGAATTTTAAGATGCCAATGACTTCAAGTAAGAGAAACATCTTTCTATACAGAAGAGTAGTATTCTTCTTTTCCTGTATTAGGTACATGAGAATGAAATTTACAAAAGAAAAAAAAAATCAAAACAATGAGATAGTAGAAAATAAAAATAAAATGATGCTTTTTCCCTGTCTATCTATGCGTGAGAGATTTCCACTCAATATCCCAATATTGAATAAAAATTTTATATCCCATTATATTGTCAATGTATTGAATAGTTTCATTTGCATTTTATATTAGATATACAATGGTTTTATCAATAAGAATCAATTAATGTAACGCAATTTTGGACCAATAAACTATAGCGGCACGGCACGTTCATCTACTCAAACCTTCACTGCTTACTTGTAAAAACATTTTTTTTCCCGAATATAGATGCTTTTTGCAGGTTAAAGAAAATTGTGTTCTTTAGATTTCATATTTAAAAAACATGACCCAAATGTCTATGTTGCTATATTCTATTGTCTTTAAATGGAGGCTTTTTAGCTTGTAAAGAATACAAAGTATGCATAGAAAATAATCTAGCCTTTCTGCAAAGGTTAATAGTATCTGACATTGTTAAGACATAGAAAGAGAAAAACTTTCTCCAAGAATGACACTCCATAAAGCCTAAAAAAAATACTATGTGAAATCTACCTTTCAATTAAAGCTCTCAAGTCTCAAGAGTGGTTGATAATACAACAACAATGACAGATCTTCTCTTGTTAAAGTTAAATTGATGATCTAGGAAAAGAAGAAAGTAGATATGATGATGATGATTTATAATATAAAAAATAGGATTATGCTGCCTGCCTACAAGACATAAGGAGAAACATACCAAAAATTTTTATAATACCATAAAATTCAATATATTAATAAAAAATATTATTTATTAATTTATTATTAACACACATTAAAAGATTATGTAATCAAATTACAAACTTTTTTTTACCTTTTTATCTTTTCACCTTCTTTTTGTATATCTACTGTCTATTTCTCGTTTAATTTTCTTACTTTAAAGTACAGATGACATGTGTTAAAGTAATTAAATAGTCTCACTAAATCACTTTTGTACTTTTCTTTTGAAAGGAGGAAAACTCTAGTTTTCATACCCATAATAAATCTACAATATAGTTTTTCACTAACAGTTAAATTTTCCTCATTCCATGAATTAAAAAAATGTAAATATTTAAAAGACCTAAAATAGTACGTTTGATTACTCATTTAAATTTCTTTACAAGAAAAGAAAAAAACACAATAATTTTTGTGTGTGACCCAAATATCTGTTAAATTCCTTAAACAGAAAAATAATCACACACAAAGTAAATTAACTAGGCTTTCAATTAATTTAATCAGAATAGTGTCATGCAATTAACAAAATGATCTGAAGTCAAATCCTACATAGCTCAGCGTTTAGCAGGCAAAGATTTTGTTAAGGGATTCTAGTTCATCTTTTCCTAATTTTAAGTTGAGTGAAGCAAAAGGAAATCTTGGGTGCACAGTGAATTGTACGATAAAAAATGGGATTTGGAAAGGTGATAACTGAAGGACTAATTGAGATTTAAAAAGATTGCAATAAACGACGAAAAAGAACATTGGTTAAAGATAAGAAAAACAAATGTGAAGCAGGGAAGAATAGATATGACATATTCCCTAATCAGTAATCGCAAAGAGATGGAAGCATAATCCCCTTAATGTCGACTCAAAGATTCATTTATAAACAATTCGCTTGTCTTTATCAATAAGGGTCACTATCAAAGTCACGTTCGTTGCTCTATTAAAATTGTAAAAAGTGCTTCATTTGCATTGTTATTAGCAAGATTGGTTATCACTTTTCATGAGAATACATTGCATGTGCCTACGAAGTTGACATTTCAGATGTCCTAATAGTGTACCACCCACCTCCCTTGTGTTTTTTTTATGTTTCCTTTTTATTTCTTCTCATCAATTCAGATTCATCTTCCCCATGTAATCACAATTTGCTTCTTCCATCAGTAAATGTGAACTTAATTGTTTTATTAGCAAAATGTTTTATTAACTTTATACTAACTTAGATATTACGCATTAATTGTTGGGTTTGTATGAAAAAAACTATTAAGTTAATAAATAAAAATGATTAGGTGGTTCTTGAGTTTGGATGAGTTTATATTTAGTAACTCAAACTAAATAAGCTTTATTATATTTTACACTTCCCAATTTGATTTTTTCTTCAGTTTTAAGTTGTTGAGTTAGGTTGATCACTCTTGACTTCTACACAAACTCATATCCACCTATTTAAATGGAATTGATAATTTTTTCAGGTGTTAAACTAACAATTGAAAAGAGTTGAAGTTATATATTTTGTAAGTTCGTAGTGTTACTTTATAATTATGATTATAAGTCTAAAAACTAAAATTGATATGGCCTATTTCGATTCCTAGCTCTAATTTTGACATTAATAATTTAGACACAGAAAGTTAATGACAAAAATTATATAAAGCATAATAAAATAAAATAAAGTTACCATTTCATCTCATACGTCTCAATTAAAAAAAAAAGAAACATAAACTAATGAAGTAGAATTAAATACATTTACTCATTCTTTTAAATTCGTTTCATTCCTTAACTAAAATTAAGAAGAAAAAAATTGATTTTCAGAAATATAATTCACTATCTACAAAAATGAATGGTCTTATAGCTTAGTTGACTCTAATCTCACACATGACTTGATCCACCTCTGCATCTACTTCTTCTCTAGTTATTTCTTCTATTTTCCTATTGATCTGGAATGGAAGTTGCAGGTGCAGTTTTGGCTTCGTTGACAATGTTTATGATGTCTTCTATACTTTGAAGAGAAGAGGTTGCAAATTCTTTTTTGTAGCAGACATCTTCTGTAAAATCCTTAGGCAAGTTCTTTAAAAACCAAGGGTGGCCCTCTATTTCCTTTATGGTGATTCTCTGCAACATAATTATTATAAAGCATTGTTACAACATACACTAAGTAATATCATGCATCTTTCATGCCATGGTTTTCATTTTTTGTGTAACAATTTTCCCTAAAATATAATGAAATGAATATAGAGTATGACATACCTTCGCTGGATTTGCCACAAAAATGCGAGATATCAGATTTTTGCAGTCTTGAGTTATGCTAACATTTTCGGGGAACTTGTATTGAACAGCCACGATTCGCTTGATAAAAATATATGTAACACATGAACAAGTAACACATTCTTTATTTTGGGTCAAAATTTACTAAAAATTTTAAAAATATAAATTTAAAAATGAAAAAAAAAATAAGACTCATATAAATTTTGTAGTTTTTAATAAAATTTAATTAATAAGAAATGTGTTACAAAGAGATTATTTTTATCATTACTCTAACGTATATAATCAGAAATAGTGTGCACAAAACATATAATGATTCTAGTAACTGAAGTACTTAAAAATTAAAGCTAGTTACATTTACGGTTTTCTTGACATTTTTGCGATCCTCTTTGTCCTCAAATGGCAATGCTCCCATCAACATTGTATATAGTATTACTCCACAGGACCATACATCTGCCAACTGAACAGGTACAAGACACAACACCACAAATTAGCCAAATAAAAAAAATTAATTAACAAAACTCGCACTTAATGCATAGACAAATCGTCCTAGCCAAAGTTCTTGTTTAGAAAAGTTTATAAAAGATTTATGAAAAACAATTTATGACATTTTAATCTTTTTAGAGCCAACTAAATAAACTCAAATGTTTCCCCAAGACATTTTAACTGCTTCATACACATTGAAACATTTTATTTTCTATCTTACTCTGACAAAGAAATGTCACTATGCTTGTTGAACACAAACCATTCCAGAGAACAATGATTCATTTTCATTATGGAAATGTAGAGACTATATTACCTTTCCATCATATTCTCCACCGGATATAATCTCTGGTGCAATATAGGCTGGAGTTCCAACCATTGAATTAGGCTTCGAATGAAGTATATATGACTAGAAAAATAAACTTTATCAGAAGCAGAATTAACAAATAATGTGTATTTAATTATTTGTTTAAAGCATTCTATCAGTTCCATATTTGAACCTTAGAATAGCCGAAATCACAAATTTTAAGACGTCGAGCATGGCTGCCATCCAACAAGGTGTTCTCCAATTTCAAGTCTCGATGACATATTTCCTGCAAAAGAAGCCAAAAATCATATTACTGTCAACTATCAAGTGTCAACACATTCTTAAATCACATTTATTATTTCAATATCTAAAAATTGATACTGTATATGTAATTATATACAATTAACTTTTTTATTTCTTTGTATGTATGCATCTTATAAAGACTCACCACTTAAAGAAAATACCAAAAGATGTTTCACTTTAATGTAACAAAAATATAACAATGGATCATGAGAGTAATGTGGAGTATATGTCATTTACCATGTTATGACAATAGCTAACTCCTGAAATCAACTGCTGGAAGAAATATCGAGCCTGAAATATATTTAAAAGTCAAAACAAGATCATGAGAAACAAATTGCATAATCATTTTAATTGTTAGTTTACAAACAGTGACCATGACTTATGAGTTGTGAACATTGGAATTGTCTATCATTGAAATTTGTAAACCTCGTCTTCTCGTAGTCCTTTGCAAACTCTGTGAAACAGCTCTCCACCCGCTGCATGCTCCATAACTATTGCAAGATGAATTGGAGTCAAAGCCACCTGCAGAGATCAAATTCCATATATTAAACAAACAATCTGAACATAATAATGTATAACGAGTGATAACAGGCATTAATGAACATTTAACATTTAACATACCATACCTCCTTGAACCGAATAATATTGGGGTGGCAAAGAGATCTGTGGTTGATGATTTCCCTTGTGACCCTCTCATCAATCTGCTAAGAAAAAAAGACAACAAATAAAGTAAATTTGTGCAGAACGAGAAGCAGCGATGGACATAAGTGCATGGGAGAGTAAGTGGGTTGTGCTGTGAGGATGACAAAACAAGTAACAACGTACGTACCCTTTGGCCCCGTTGGATGCATTTGACAGCAACCAGTTCTTTGGTCTCTTTGTGACGCATAAGCCTTACCACCGCGAAATTCCCATAGCCTATTATATCCTTCACCGCCTCATACTTCTCCATACCTTTCTTTTTTCTTCTTCAAATTAACACACCTCAATCATCAATCAAACCCAGATAACCAAACTTTCAAACACCCCATAGGATCTCTAAACGCCAGAGACAAAATTTCTTATTCCATGGATACTTTTAAATTTAATTAACTTTTCAAATCTGTTAAAGATACACAATGATAAATTTTATATAGTAATTTTTTATTTAAAATTACAAAGATCATGTCATCTAATGTGTTAATAGTATTAAATATTATAATTTTAATAAAATTTAATATTTATTATTCTTTAATCATGTGTCTTTTTATGTACATTAAAAAAATCAAATTTAACATATGAGAAAGAAATAGTTAGGAGATAAAAATATTGTCATTGTTAAATAATGGTAAAATTGAAAAGGGGGGGGATTTAAAGAAAAAGAAAAGGTATTCTTATTGTCATTTATGAAATTATATTTCCTTAAATAAAGAAATTAAAGAAGAAAAAAATTTAAACTGAGGAGGGAAATTATAAAAAAAAATATATAATTAAAATATCTAAATAGATGTACAAAATCAACACAAATAAGTATGAGTTCCACGTGTAGCAGTTTTATTGGAATTTAATTTTTCCTCCAAATAACCTTTATATGGTTATGTGGTACCTAATTGGACAAAGAGAGCAATTCGTCAAATTTTTTTTTGTGTTAATCTCTGTCTATTAACATAAATAAATTGTTTGGAATTGAAGGTGAGGATACGCAAACTAAATAGAAGATAATCTGAATTTGAAATTTTCATAGAAAAAAAAAAGTTGGGAGTGAGACTGTCATATTACTTGAAAAGAAATATAATAACAGCTAAGGTGTTTTCTATTTTCTGGTTCTAAGTTTTTGGGTTCCGTAAAGAAAAAACCTGTAAGGGTGGATTCTCTATAGATTTGTTGTTGGGTTCCGTTGGAATAAAACACGAACTAAAAAACTGACTGGATAAATTCAAATTAAAAGATAAAAATAAATTATATCAATACAATTATTTAATTATAATTATATATTATTTTAATTTATACATGTGTAAGTAATACTTAATTTATCGTTTAAAATAGCTTATATAGATAATTTATAACCCACGTAAACTAAATAATTTTGTTGCATGCCAAACAAATTTATAATATAATTTTTCATACTATAAAAATGTATTCAATAAATATTTAATTAAAAGCATACTATAATAAATTCAAATGTAACATATATTTATCTAAACCGGATGATATAATTTTAAAATAAGCATAGAAAGTATAATTTAAGTATCTTTCAGAAAAAATAAAATATAATTTACTTTTGTAATTATGTATTTAGTATGTATTATGTAAATGTAATTCGTATTCAAGAATTTTATTTTTATGGAAGTGACTTACAAGACATTTAATGGCTATTAATTGAGATTGACTCGAGGTTACGCATCTAAATATGGTGGGTGAGTTATTATAAGAGATTTTTTTGTATACACAAAAACTTGAATCTAATACTTTGCTTAAGCAATAACTAGTCGCTTGCCACTCAAATCAAACTCAAATCAACCTCTGTTAGTTAATAATAGTAAAATTTTATTAAAAAAAATATTTATTATATTTTTATAATTTTAATACAATAACTAAGTACTTTTTTTCATAAAAACTTTCTATATATAAATACTTAAACTTAACTCAAAATTTTTTGTTCATCTCAACCTTTAAAATAGAGAATAAACAATTAATAATAATAAAATTTTATTAAAAAATAATTTATTATATTTTTATAACTTTAATACAATAATTGTGTCATAAAAAAGGCTAAAGTTAGTAAAAATTTATTTAAAAAACTAGTGTTAATTAAATAATCTATATGAAAACAAGGTAAAAAAAACAATGAAAAAAATTAATGGATTCTTTAGAAGTTAAAGAAAACTACAAAACAAAGTATATCACAAACACATTTTTTAATTAACAAACGCAACTAAACGTGATTCGTATCGATATTTTTTATTTGATGGAAAGTTATGTTTGGATGGAACAATAGATTATTTTATATTCCTTTTTTAAGTTGGTTAAGTAGCCTAACAAGTATCATGGTTTTTTTTTATATATTATTATTATAAATAATTCAAATAAAAAGATGACAAATATATTTTAGACATCCATAAATACAATAATAAGTAAAGGTATTGTACCTATGTAATCGTTAGAATAATATTAGCGCATTAAATTTTAAATTAAATAAAAATATAAGAACTTAGCTTCATGTCTAAAATGATAAAATAGGTACAAATTATAATTAATTTAAAATTGATATATATTTATAATTTACTTGAATTCAAATTTATGTTAGTGATCCACTTTTTGGGTTTATACATTTTTTTTATTTAAAAGCATTATATTATATTCTTAAAATAATTATGGACAAAAATAACTTTATTAAATACTTAAAAAAGAAAATTTTCCTGCCTACTGATTTAAATAAACTTAACTGCAATAAAAGGTACTTGTAATTTAAATAAAAAAATTAAGAAAAAATATTTTTTAGGGTCAAGAGTGGGCATAAAAAGTCTGTTTAGTTGTGTTTTTTGGGGGCATAAAAGGTGTAATTGACTTTGAAAATATAGTGGGCTGAAAAACAAAAATAGCCCAAGATGGAAAATCAGTGACAGAACACAATTTCACTGACGCTCGTGTGTTTACCCATAAACCGTAATGAAATAAAATTTCAGCGTTTGATTCACCCATCGTATCGTCGTTCATTTCATTGAATACGATGTAATTGTAATTTGTAACCTTTCCTCATTCTTCAACAACGTAAATTACCATTATAGTCCCTTTTGTCTCCACTTCTCTGTTCTCTGCTCTTCTTCCATTGTCTTCTCTTTTGTTTTCTCTTTCTCTCTCCCTCTCTTCCTAAGTCTTCAATCCCCACCATGTCCTTCCAATCCCGATCCCAATCCTTCTTCTTCCTGCTCCTCCTCTCTCTCTTCCTTTCTTCCGCCTTCGCTTCAGAGTCAGATCACAAGGTAATTCCCCCATTTCCCAAACCCTTTTTGCTTCTTTCTTTTCTCTTCGATTCGATCTACTCTTCCTTTGCTTAATTCGGATTTGGATCTGCTAAACGTGTGCGCTTTCAGCTGTTACTGCCACTGAATTTGAATCTGTTAGCTTTGCTTGAGATTTTCCCTTGGAATTTATCTTAAGATTGGAATGTTTGAGTTTTCAAAGTGTTAGATCTCAACTGGGTTTTTGCTTGTGCTCACCTAGGTCTCTGTACAATGTGGCGTGTTTGCTGCTGTTCAATGCTTCCCTTTTTCTTTGCGAATTAGATTCAATTTGACTTCTTCTTCCCTTGTTTAGTTCTATTATTAATTGATGATCTTGGATAATTTCTTGTTTTTTGAATGTTAAAAATATTTCCCTTTAATGCTTAGCTATTTTTAGTTTCCTAGTTGAGGGTGGAATTAAGCTTCGGAGAGGTTTTGAAACACCAAATTGTATGGAGGAGTGAGGTGGGAACTACTTGCTTGGGGAGTAGGCTTCGATTGTTTGTTGTTGTAATGTGTGCATTTGTCTCTGAAGTCATAGAAGGACCCACAGAGAGATGTGTGTAACCAGAGCATCGGCTGAAATTACACAGAAGAGACAATTTGTTCTTGCTAGGTTGTTTAAAAGTCTTAGCTTACACACATGATTTCAGCAAGGAAGCAAGATTGTTTTTCCGTAGTCTGTGCTATCTGTCGGCAATCTTTTCTAGTCTTGCAAGGAATGATGTGGAGCGTGGTAACCCTATTTGTTTACCCTTTTTTATTTGGTTAAAAGTTTCTTAAACAGTGAGTTTGATGGTTGTTAGTACTGTTTAAGATCAGGCCATCAGATTATTTATGTTTATTAGTTCATCTAACAACCATGTTCTCTGGATTTTAATTTTTTTTAACACAAATTTGAGATTCACTTGATGTGGACACCCATTGCATCATTTTATCACATGTCTGCTTGGGGGTTTAAAGTATTGAGCTTTACATTATGCTCTGTCAATCTGTGGTGTCTTAATATTAGTTCCAGAAGTCAACCCTAGATTATATAACTGATTATTATACAGCGAACTGAACTTGAATTATAAATTATGTCAATAACTTAGTAGCCGTTCTTCTCTTTTGTCTAATAGTCAGTTTTATGATTCAATTCATATATACATGTTTCCTCTATGGGTATGGCTTCTACAGCTCAATATCCTTAATCAGTTGTCACTTTTAACCGAACCCCTATTTATACTGTTATTCCAGAATTTGTTCTCACTGAGCTGGTGAAAAAATTAAACATATATATATATATATATATATATATATATATATATTTCATTTTTAGATTTAAATGGTGACTGGCTTCTGTTTTTAAAAGGATGTATTTTACTTCATTGCAGTATCAACAAGATGAACCAGTTACCCTTTGGGTGAATAAAGTTGGTCCTTATAACAATCCACAAGAAACATACAACTATTACAGCCTCCCTTTTTGCCATCCAACTGGTAGTGCTAGTGCTGCGCACAAATGGGGTGGTCTTGGTGAGGTCCTGGGTGGCAATGAACTCATTGATAGCCAAATTGAGATAAAGTTCCTAAGTATGGAGGCTTCTGATGTTATAAGAATTTCATAGAAGAGCTATCAGTAGACAAATTGGCTTTAATGGATACTCTTGTTTTCAGGGAATGTGGACAAGACTGTCTTTTGCCAGATAGTGCTTGATGATGGGAAGGTGAAGCAGTTCAAGGATGCAATAGAGAATAATTACTGGTTTGAATTCTTCATGGGTATGTTTTGCATTGTTTCTTTTACTTATTACTATGAGAACTTAAAGAATGATTTTACCATCAAGAAATGCTGGAAACTTGCAGAATTTTTTTCCCTTGGCCATTACAGTAGTAACATGAAGGATAACATAAGCACAACATGAAAATTTATAACGGAAGCAACAAACGCCTAAAAATTAAGAAACATGCAGTACTAGACTTGGGG